TTAGCACATCCCCAGTCTAAAACTAGGCTGTGGAAATGGATTATGTCAGATGTGCAGCTGAGAAGAGTCACGCCCCCTCTGCTAAGGGGCTGTCTGGGCTGCTTCCCCCTCCTACCACAGGCCATGAAGGAAGGCAGATGTTACAAGTGAGGAGAAAAGGGGGTCGCACCAAGGCAAAACCAAGGTGCAGAAACAAATCGGTGCAGGGGGAAACAGAATCTTTAATCACTGTACAACCCCTACGTGTTTCACGTGCGGCTTTGTCAGGGGGACTCGACTTCCAGATTCTTTTTGGTTCCACTCCCATGTAAGTATATTCAGGTGGGGCAGAGCCGTGTTGGTCTGAAGCAGCAGAACAAAGTTTGTATCCAGTCACACCTTTAAGGCCAACCAAGTTTTGTTCACGGTATAAGATTTCATGCGAAAGCACAATTCTGCAGATACAGTGGGACAGAACCTCCTCTGCCATTACTTATGGGGGTGGGGGGTGGGTTTCTTGCCAGGAAGTGCCATTTAGAGTCAAGAAGCATAAGTACTGGGTGACTATAGCCGAGATTGAATGTAAGAAAGATCTGTGAATGGCAGTAAATTAGCATACAAATTCAAGAGTAAACAAACAGATCTGGGAATGAGGTTTGAGTCCAGTGGCACCTACGAGCAGCGTTCCCTCTAAGCTGTGCTAGGGGGTGCTGGTGCACAAAATTTTAGGTGGCAGCTCAGGGATTTTAGTTTCAGTGCACAAGTAAACTGGGAAGGCAATTTCCCCCCTCCATTGGAAACAATGTGAGCCCCCCCCCCCCCCCCACACAGCGCGAGTGCTTTTACCGGCGACCAGCTTTCTACGGCTCAGTGCAGAATGATGGTCCAAGGCCAGGTCTACCAATACAGTGGAAAGGGCTGGGTAGACCTGTTCAGCGGAGGCCAAGTTTACCAATATAGTGGAAAAGGGCAGGGAGACCTGTTCTCCGGAGGCCTGGTCTACCCCCCCTAGAGGACAACATTTTTTTATAATGAAATTTGACTCGATTCTGTTTTCTCTGTTTCTCTGTTTAAGATTAAATTAATCTTAAAATATAGAAGAAGAGAGAAGAGATTGGATTTATACCCCGCCCTTCACTTGGAGTCTCAGAGCGGCTTACAAACTCCTTTCCCTTCCCCTCCCCACAACAGACACCCTGTGAGGTGGGTGGGGCTGAGAGAGCTCTGACACAAACGGCTCTTTTTCAAGGACAGCTGTGCCAGAGCTTGTGGCTGACCCAAGGTCACATCAGCAGGTGCAAGTGGAGGAGTGGGGAATCAAACCCGGTTCTCCCAGATTAGAGTCCGCACACTTCACCACTACACCAACATTCATTCTGAGGTTTTTACAAGGTTATGGAAATAATATTCTAAAAAACTAATATCTGCAATAGTCAAAGGTAGACTCGCTCACAACTTGAATGCTACTAGCTTTTTTCGTTCACGGGGTAGAATTTTTGCTCACAAACTGTGGAGCTTAGAGGGAACATTGCCTTCAAGACAAATAAAGTTCAGTTCTGGGTACTAAGTCTCTCAGATCTTGTCTTGTAGGTGCCACTGGACTCAAACCTCATTCCCAGATCTGTCTGTTAACTCTTGTGTTCGTATGCTAATTTACTGCCATTCATAGATCTTTCTTACAGCCAATCTCAGCTATCATCACCCAGTACTTCTGCATCTTGACTCTCAATGGCCCTTCCTGACAACAACCCCCACACCATCCTCTATAAGTAATGGCAGATGAAGTTCTGTTCCAGTGTATCTGAGGAAGTGTGCCTTGCACACGAAAGCTTATACCGTGAACAAAACTTGGTTGGTCTTAAAGGTGCCACTCTGGACTCCAACTCTGCCCTGTTTGAGTCCGTTACAAGCACCACATTATCTTGGCAGAAGGAAACCTCTCTCTAGACTTCATGGCTAGAAAGGTTAAGTCAAAATTGGGCAGGTGTGTTCAGAAGTGTCAGGTAATCAAATGTGTGTTAACTCATTGTGTTAACTCAGTTTAAAAATGCTTCAGTCCTGACACAATGTTCTACAGGGGGTGGCAATGGACTGCCAGACCCCTCCCCCTTCCCAAATCTCTAGCAATCACTTGTTCTCCTCATAGGGCTCCTCTCCAGACACTTAACACTAAAGAAGAAGAGAAGAGATTGGATTTATACCCCGCCCTTCACTTGGAGTCTTGGAGCGGCTTACAAACACCTTTCCCTTCCCCTCCCCACAACAGACACCCTGTGAGGTGGGTGGGGCTGAGAGAGCTCTGGCATAAACTGCTCTTTTTCAAGGACAGCTGTGCCAGAGCTTGTGACTGACCCAAGGTCACATCAGCAGGTGCAAATGGAGGAGAGGGGAATCAAACCCGGTTCTCCCAGATTAGAGTCCGCGCACTTAATCACTACACCAAACTGGCTCTCTAAAGCAGCAAACCCTCAGTTCTTTGTGGGTGACCCTCTGTTCGTTCCCTCCACTCACCCCTCCCCCTTACCATTCAGGCTGGCGGTTGAAGAGGGCACTTGAAGGGTGGATATAGACCACCTGCTGGTCAATCAACGTCCGATAGCCCTCCTGGGGATCTTTCTTGGCAGCATTCCGGAAGAAGCCACTGCAGATGGCCTTCTGAACTCGCACGGTCGCTTTCCCACAAGATACCACGTCCAACTTGTGCCTGCCAAACAAGATGGAAGAATTCAGAACACAAGTGAAGCAAGTCTCGCAGTCTAGGCTTTAACCCCCACGAATACTGCACCAGTCTGCCCTCCTCCACTGGTAGACTGCTTAGGCCTTGGACCACAGAGTTCTGCTCAAAACAAAAGTTCATTTTCACTGTTTTGAACACCAGTAGGCCCAGTGAAGATAATCTGCTCCTATCACTCTAGTGTTTAACGAAAAAAGGTCAGCAGATTCAGCATCCAAGCGTGATCACTAATTACTAATCAGCCAAGACTTTGGAAAACTGGGTTCAGTTTCCCAGCACAGATACAAGCGAAGTGCTGTCTTTTCCAGAAAAGTTCCTTCTGTAGAGCAAAGGGGCAGATGAGCTGGGTAACAGATACTCGTTTATTTAAAACACTTCTATGCTACCCAACTTAGGGCCCCAAGGCGGCAAGCAAAACATTAAAATAGCATTTAAAATACAGATAATTTTTTTTTTAATTTAAAATATTTTGTAAACGTTTAAATCGGGAGGAAGAATTTTATGAGGGAATGCTGAGCAACGTAAAAGTTTTCCGTCGCTGGCAGAAGACACAATAGATGGAAATAGACAAATCTTCCAGAGTTTTGGTGCCGTGACTAAGGCGGCCACATCCCCAGCCTCAGACACCCAAAGTTCCTGAGTTTCAACTGTGCGATTGGGGGAAGGTAGGAATAGTAATTTTTTCAGCACTTAGAATTATCTGACTATTAAATTTACCTACTTGGAATACATTCCACTGGTTGCAGTCCTCTGCAGGTTTATGTGGTACTAGTAAGTTTGATTCAGAATAAATAGGCATAGGCTCCTGTTGCATGCCTGTGTTCCACCCCTGATCATGCTGAATTATCATTGGGGCAGCTCCACATTTATTTTGAGCTATGGCAAGCTAATAATCAGCCTTGGAATCTGTATCAGTGCTGCAGGGCTAACCTGGAACATGTCACAGGCAGCATAAAAGAAAACCACAGAAAATGGCTGGAGTGAGCCGGTAGGTTCGTATGCTGGATATGCTTTCAGTTGGCCGCTACGGCATGGCTTATTTAGGACTCACCTTGGCTTGACCAAGCAAAGCATACTGATCATGGTGTGCATGTTTGTGTGCGTGTGAGGGGTGTGTGTGTGTCTCCGAGTCTATGAATTAATGGCCTCCAAAATGCTCCATCACTAACAGTCTTCCAAACTGAATCAATCCATCAATTCAATCAATCCACCTCATGCGCCTCTTTTCCTGTGGCCTTCGACTTTTCTTAGTATTATTGTCTTCCCAGACAGGCTATATCCCCTCAGCTTGGTCACAGACATGAATTCTCATATCTCTGGACGGATGCAGAGAACTTTGCAAAAACTGCACTCACATTCACACCCTTCGCTTTTTTCAAAATGCTGGTTTCCCCCACTGAATCAAACTTTGATTGCCTTAAAGATTTGCTCTCTGGTAAGTGTTGCAAACAGGCGACCAGGCATCTGTCGACAGCCATGCACTCACCTGTCCATGATGCCCAGCATTTGTTTGCGAATATCCTGTGCCCGGCGCAGTGAGCGGGCCTGGATGAAGTTCTCGTAGCACCAGGGGTTGGAGAACTTGTTGTTCTTCCAGGAGTTATAGACAGCCAGAAGTGTGAGGTGGTCCCCTTCAGTCTGGTGGAACTTGGCTTTCTTCTGGTCAGCAAGAGCTTGCTTGTCCTGCACACATAACAAGAAGTCAACATTCACCAACCACGATCTTTCCAGGCATTCTTACACTTCGATACTGAGCCAGTGCAAAGCAGAACAACAAAGACTCCATCTTGTAAATGATGACCCTCAAGATCTGCCAACATGCTGGGCCAGACTGAAAAGTTTAACAAGTATGTTGGTGGGAAAGCAAATAAATAAATAAATAAATAAGAGGGTGTGTGTGCCTGTGTGCCTTTTCTCCTTGACTGCAGAGTTAAAACTGGAAAATAAAACAGTGACTCAGTAAATAAAAAGCACATAACACCCCCACATTCTTTAGCACTTGATTTCTGAGCCAATCCCATCGTTTTAATCAGGGCTCTTTTTGTAGAAAAAGCCCAGCAGGAACTCATAAGCATAATAGGCCACACCCAACAACAGAAACTCATTAGCATATCCAGCCACACCCATGAGAGCATAGCTCATTAGCATATTAGGCTGCACCCCCATGTTACCAGAAGTGTAAATCAGGGCTCTTTTTGTAGAAAAAGCCCAGCAGGAACTCATAAGCATAATAGGCCACACCCAACAACAGAAACTCATTAGCATATCCAGCCACACCCATGAGAGCATAGCTCATTAGCATATTAGGCTGCACCCCCATGTTACCAGAAGTATAGTCATCCAGCCACACCCACCTTTTGCTTGTTATTCTGTTTACCTTGTTTGTTGTCAAAACCCAGGGCCTTTTTTTTGTAGCAGGAACTCCTTTGCATGTTAGGCCACACACCCCTAATGTAGCCAATCCTAATGAGTTCCTGCTGTTGGGTGTGGCCTATTATGCTAATGTGTTTCTGCTGGGTGTGGCCAACTTGGGAGCCAGCCGGAACTCTGTTCCTGTGCGTTCCTGCCCAAAAATAGCCCTGGTTTTAATACTCTGACTTTACTAAGGGGTCTGTGTGAGAGAACTGAAGACAAAAGGGAGGAGAGGGAAAGCTCAACTTCCATGAATGTCCCAGCAACCTTCCTTGTTTTTCCTGCCAAGTGGCACCCACGGCTCACTGGCGCATGAAAGCAAGGAGTTACACATTTTGAGAATCATCCAGTTTATTACTGGATGTCACTGCATCACTGCGGGAGGGGAGACACATCCCCCCATCCCTACGGCACTGCACTTTACGGACACTTTACGGAATGTGGAGCATTCAACCCACTGAAGTGTTCCATTT